TCCTTCGCTGACTGGCAGAAAGATCGACGAGTTCTGAGGTAAGAAACAGCAGATATGACTGCTGTTCGTATCTTTGTTTTCATTATATGTTTGTTGTGATACGTAAGGCCTTTCAGCTGCTTAAAGTGAGTATACTTCAGTTGTGTTCATGACATCATTGCAAGAACCTCTCATAGGACAAAGTATACAGGTCATCCATTTTCTTTACTCAGCCCCCTCACTGACAACATATTTATTTTTCTCGAAATATCATAATACATAACCTTTATCATGAAGATGGGTCGACTTAAAGAAATGAAATAACACCTTGTAAACTCAAAGTCTTGGCAGGGGTTGGACAACGTCTTACACCGAGACGGAAAGACACATATGATATAATACAATACGTAGTAAGAATAATATAATTAGACATTTTGATAGCGCAAATTACCGCTCAACAGCAAGCTCAGTGGGCTTCAAAATCTACATGTGTACGCTCGCACACATGCATATACACATGCACACTCACGAAACAAGTATACAAGCATACACACAAATGCACACACACACACACACACACACACACACACACACACACACACTCACACACACATACATACACACACACACTTTTACACACAGTTGTTTGTGCAACTAGCACAGTTTAGAATAATCTTAACATCACGAACATTTCTGAACCGATTGCTCAATCGAAAGATCGATTCGTCAACTTAGGCTGTATTTTCACTTTTAAGGAAAAGCGGGCTAACCTAGATTTCGGGGATTGCCAGAAATCTTGACCTACACCAAAAGTAGGCACTGCCCTTCCTACAGGAGAAGTTTGGTTTCACTGGTGTGTATATTTGTTTGGTTATAGAGAAAACTCTCCTTGTCTTTTAATGAATCTGAATCAGGATCCAAAAACTTTACCTTCGATTTTCTCTAAACAGCTCTTTTCGGGATAGGCCCCTTGTGCTTAAAAGCGACCAATTTTCACCAAGGAATTGAGCGAAACGTTGTAAGTTCTATTACAACACTGACTTGTATGAACAATCTTTGAGTTTGGAAAATGAATGCTTGGCTGCGTCAAAGTCTCCTTGGAGTCTCAATTCGGAACTTATTAATTTGTTCTACAACGCAAATCCGGGGTTCTCACTCTATATTGAGTCCGCATAAGGGTGGTCAGGAATTCATGCACAAATCGCTACCTCAAAATCACAAATTTTTATCTGGCATTTTTGGCCGTTTTGAGTTACTACGACCACAAAGTCAGAAATCAAATGTTATAATTGCCCTATCAAAATCGTTAGATTATTCGGAGCCGTTTTCAAGTTATTCAAATAACTGAAATAAAAGAAAAGAAGCTTGACATGTTGTGAAACTAAACATGTTTGGCGTCAAGTTTCTCAAAACTAGGTACTGAGCAGATAGAACATTGTAATTCTGAGGTAGGGAACTGACGAATGGCATAATGTAGTTTAAGAAGGGATACCTCCTCAATAAGACCTTTGTCGTTTGATGCAGAATTTGCTGATTAAGACAAAACCGTGGACCGTGGCCCTGATCGTGTAAAATATAAAAGTAGTAACAATATTATTAAACAGCATTAAACGTATTGCGGTCCAGCAAGCTCTATGCCTTTTACAATCTAAATTTATACCCAGGAAGGCATGACAGAGTGGGTGGTTGGCGGGTGCTCTGGTGTGGTCTGCTTCTTCTTTCCTATCAAACATCTATCGTCCTTATCTCCCAGTCTTCTTTTTTATGTTTGTTACTCTCTTGTAACACCTCTAATCTTCTGGCGCTCAAATGACCTT